TAATTAATTTTACCTTCATTCCACCCCCTCCCCATCCCTACCCCATTTTCAGCTGTTCTCATGATTTGGCTTTTCATCTGTCTCCTCACCTGGTGCAGTGAATAATCTCTATGAACATTTCTGGTTGAATCAAAGTTCAGTTTCCCAGCCTTCTTCAGGTTGTCCAGGCTTTAGGTCAACATGCTATGTGTGTCCTCAACAGGTTACAGGATTCGGTCCATTTTTTAAAACAGTGTGCAGAAATACATGCATATTTCAAAAATTGCTTCTTAGAGATAAATTTTTATATGATTGAAAAATTAAATACTTCTCTATTTTTAATGTTTATTATTGAAAATATTTTCTAAAAGCAAAAAATAAATTATTTAAATCACAAATCCTAGGAAAAAGAATTAAATTGGTTTCCAATATCTTGGACATTTTAAAGCATATTAACTGTATTAGTAGGAAGAATATGTAAGTGAAATTGGTCCAGGTAAGTTGTTTTCAAATGCCATTCAGATCTGGGGGAAAATGAATTATATTATTTCTCAGGCAGTTTGGAAACATGCTATAGTATTTAAAAAAAAGAAAAAGAGAACTATATGGATATCCCGCCCTTGCTCTTCCAAAATAACTCTCCTGCCGTGCTAGATAAGGAATGATATTAAAAATTTCAAGATTTGTAATTCATTTTCTAAACGATTTTAGCCCATGGGAAGCTTACTCTTGATGTTCAAACTAAATGTATTTTAGCTTTCCCCTTGTGCCACTCAGAAAGTGTAGAAGCTTTTGAAGGGCTGAAAATCTCTAATGGTTATATCAGGAAAGGAAATGTTACTATAGAAAAGAGAATCTTTCTTGCATTTCTGCATCTGTAGGAGGAGTGGTAGACGCTAAGCTGTGTTGTCCCCACACACGATGATTAGGCCTTCTGGTTGAGAAATTTAAGAGAACTCACTTGTAGTGCATAAAAAAAGCAAGAAGGATTTTGAGAAAATCCTTGGGGACCTTGGGGAGTGGGGAGGGAGACAAAGGTGAGAGGAGAAGGAGTCATAGATGGGGTGCAGGGCAAAAAGCCAAGGCGTAAGACATACATGAGTAACATGGAAATTTTGCAATGGATTTTTAGGGGAAACTTTTTGATTTTTAATTTTTAGTAACTTAACTATGTAAGGGAATACAATACCAGGGTTGATACTCAAAATGCTCCCCAACCTTTTAGGACAGGCTCGGAACTGACCCTGGGCTTACCCAGGTGGGTGAAACAGCAGAATAGCACCTCAGGGGCAATACCCCTTTCCCAGAAGTTATCATGAAAGATGGCTGCACACTCAAAAACCTTGTCTTAGGGACCCAACTTAGTACGGTGGCTTTTAGCAAGAGGCAAGCAGAGATAGGAGGCATGAGATGGACAGGAGAGGGCAGCATTAGTGAGAGGTCCTGCCGGTCGAACGAGCAGGATAATGTCTTTAAAACAATCCATCGGAGTATGGAAGGTGGGAGTGGTGCTCAATGTACATGGGAGCCAGCTTGGGAGATTTTTCTCAAAGGAACCTTGGAAGTTCTAAATTATCCTTCGCAGGAGTCATGCAGACAGGAGCATGTGGACATCAGGGATTTGGAAAGGGGCACGCCCTCTGACTGAGCAGTTCCCATGAGAGGAGCAGGACCAAACAGGGCGAAGAGAGAGGCCAAAACCAAAAGCTGATGGAAGAGCTTCCAGCCCAAGAGGCACCTTCTAAACAAAGAAGCCTGGGATTCTAACCCAGCTTCAGAGAGTATACTAATTCTAAATGTAACTCAAACCGTAAGCCTTTTTATAGTTTACCCATGGATGCAAGAGGTGTCTCCAAAGAGGGCACAGAAGAGGCAGCCCCCATACCCAAAATATGTGGAGAAAGCAAGCAAGGACTGTATTACCACAGGTGGAACACTACCATGGCAGTGGGGGGAGAGGTGACAAGGGTCCTTATTGGACTGGAACGAACCACTGAGAGCTGGCAACAGTCGGTAGCATGCCAGTTGCAAATGGCACCCCACCTCCCGATCTACCCACCTCTCTGCCCAGCCAGCTGTGAACTCTGTGTCTACGAATGGCTCCCTCACTAGCCAGCTCCTACCATGTTCTGGCAGTTTCTGTTCAAAAACTCTTCTTCACCCTTAGCAAAACGTGCCTCTCCGTACTTTGGAACATAACAGTGCAGGGTAGTGTGTGTGTGTGTGTGTGTTTGTGTGTGTTTGTTTGTGCGTGTGCTTGTGTGCATGTATGTCTGTACGTGTGCATGTGTCCTGAAAGCCTATAGAGCATAGAGTGCTCTGATCAGCTATCTTTGAATTCCTGTGAAGTGGCTAAAATCTATTGCTGTACAAACACACGAGAGAACAGAGGAGTTACCACTTCCATCATCTTTCTTCCTTTCTTGAATGCTGTGTACATGGTATAGTTTGATGTCCATGTGGCTAGGGGGAATGTGCTTTGAATTATTTTACAAGGGAAAAACAGTTGAAAAAGATTCTAGTTGATGACAGGTGTGCCATAATGGACATACTGTGTTGGATTTGAAGAAGGATATTTCATTTGCTTATATTTCCTAGACAAACAAATAGCTTTCTTGCTTTCAATTTAGTCCTGTTAATTTAGTCAAATCTCAAATTCTCAAATTCTTAATGATTTCTAATAATATTGGGAACCCCTAATGTAGGTAAATCTAAAATAGTAATTTTTAGGAATTTTTGTGTAGCGACAGTTTGTTCATTTGTGTCAGAGGTGAGGTTAGGAGAGTAGAATTCTATAGAAGTTGAAATTGCAAGTAAACAATTTTAAAGAATATAAAATCAATTTAATTAATACAAATTCAATTTAAATAATATGAATTCATTTATTTTTAAATAATATGTATTTTATTAATTTTTAATAATTTTATTATTAATTTCAAATAATAAGAATTCAACTCAATGTGCCTGGGCTTTGGAACTGTTCACACTCTGGTTCCAACACTTACTAGGCAAGAACCCACAGTTCCCCCATCTGCAAAGTGGAAAAAAATACTTACGTCAGAGAACATTCATGAACGTTCAGTGGAAAAGTTTCTGGCACATAATGCTCAAAACATGTTACCTTTTGCCATTTTCTTTTCTTTTTTTTTTTTTAAAGATTTTATTTATTTATTTGAGAGAGAGAATGAGAGAGAGAGAACACATGAGAGGGGATAGGGTCAGAGGACGAAGCAGACTCCCTGCCGAGCAGGGAGCCCGATGCGGGACTCAATCCAGGGACTCCGGGATCATGACCTGAGCCGAAGGCAGTTGCTTAACCAACTGAGCCACCCAGGCGCCCCCTTTTGCCATTTTCTAAAAACAAAACATCTTTCAGCTTTTTTGGGAACAGAGACGAAGAGAAATTTGATTTAGGGATTTTTTACAGAAGTCTTTAAAAACCACAACATCATGTTATTCTTGGCCAAACATAATTTAAAATAGTGAAAAATAGGTCATAGGGCTTTAAATTAATATATTAGTATTAGAGAGGTGCCTGGGTGGCTCAGTCAGTTAAGCGTCTGCCTTCTGCTCAGGTCATGATCCCAGGGTCCTGGGATTGAGCCCCGCATCAGGCTCCCTGCTCAGCGGGAAGCCTGCTTCTCTCTCTCCCACTCCCCCTGCTTGTGTTCCCTCTCTTGCTGTGTCTCTCTCTGTCAAATAAATAAAGAAAATCCTAAAATATATATATATTTGTATTATAAACAATGACCCATAATTATACTGCTTTTTTAGAAGTTATTTAGGACATTTTGCATGCTAAGCATCATGAATACACTTTTGGAATTACTAGTGGCCTCCAAATTAGTAATGGGCTTTTCCTGTGTGTTACTGATATTAAAATGCATTTCTCTTTGTTCTTGGTAGTAACCCACTTCCGTTCCTAATTATGTTCTGCATAGGCTAATATTAGTGCTGGTTTATCATGTTTGGGTATTCAGTAGTGGGGCACCATTCTTTGAAGGTGTCTGGACATGGCCTAAAGACATGCTGATGGTGAGGACAACCTGGCAAGGCATAAGAAATTTATTCTAGTTATTGTCCAGAAGATTTATCCATCCCTGTCAGAAAATACCACCATCCTGTTCTCTTCCTTTTCTACTCCCTAACCTCCTTCCTCCCAGCCCCTTGCTTTTACCCTGTCATTGCTGTGATAAGAGACTTTTTCCTAAAAAATAGAGGTTATCATAAAATTTAATTCCTGACCTGTAATTCCAGTTCCTTCACACATGTGTTCAGTCTGTTGCAGAAATTTGGTCTGTGCTTCTCAGATCAAACAGAATTATCCTTTATTCAGAAGGTTGTCCCCCATGGACAATGTATGTTATGAGACTTAATGTTGTTTAGCATTTAGAATCATACTTTCTTCTTGAACTGAGAATAAGAATCAGCAGAAACTGCCATGCTATGGCAGTCCCAACATAATTCCACAGAGTCTGTCTATGGGGATAGTATTTTTGGTAGTTGGGAAATATTACATAAGTAATGCTGCATACCAGTTAGTTGAATTAAAATATATATTACGCACAGCTTTGTACTTGGCTTAAAAAAGTTTCCTTTACAGCATCTTTTAACTTCTTACTGTTCTTTTCATGTTGCTAGTATAAATACCTAATATGTTTTTGTTCAAAACATCAATTAGGCTTCAGTGTAATCTTTATTAATACAGATCTGTTATTACAAGAAGACTGCTGAGCTATGATAATTTGCACAGCAGGAACAATAAAATATCTTCTTTCTTCTTGGTTCTATCCCAGAATGCTTGGCTTTTCTCTTCTTTCACAGAGTACACCAAAGCCTTTCATGATACCTTTCTTTTACAATCGTAATGAGATCTTGAAAGCATTCTTATAAGCAAAAGCGGCGTTTTCTTCAAAGGTAAACAAAATGGAAGGGCCCCAAATTGCAGATAGATTCAAAAAAGACACATGTAAGTGACAGATCTCCACTTCTAATATCTTTAATTCTTTCTCTTCATGTAGCCAGAACTCCCCACTTCCTGCGGATTCAGAACGTGGAAGTCAATGCAGGCCAGTTTGCCACCTTCCAGTGCAGCGCCATCGGCCGGACCGTAGTGGGTGACCGGCTCTGGTTGCAGGTACAGTAACTCAGCATCATCGGTTCAGGGAGAGTCCAGGGACAGCAGTGCATGCCCCCTGGGGAAGGGCTCAGGGGTCCAGGTCAGTGTCGGGTTGCTGATGGATGATTGATGCCAACAGTTGTCTCCCCTCCTTTCCTTCTTTATTGATAAGTTGTGAGATTCCTAAGAGTTCTAGATAATGCCTACTGTTCTTCACAGACCTTTTTCTTTTTCTTTAAATTTTTGTTTTTTTCCTTTGCTTCTGCTTAGCCATCTTGCTTTGAAGATGTGGCTGTCAAATTACTTGTAGAGCAGGATATTAAAGTACCAAATATAGAGCTCTCCCCTACTCTTCCTCTTGAGAATTGTCCAGAGCATCACACACACACAAGACACACACACCACGCACGCATGCACGTATAACCCTTTTTGTAACTTGAATTCCCACAAGAAAAAAAAAGCCTCCACTTAGAAATTAACAACACATCTTTTGAGTATTTAAGTAGACATTTTTAGTGTAATCATAATTTGTGTGTCTTGTTTTATGATGTTTCAAAGTCCACCATATATATTTTGCATGGGAAATAGTTTCATGGATGTATCCATGGTTGCCCAAGTTCTGACAGAGTGAGTGGGATTAGGTGACCTATCCCCTCTAACCGGAATGCCACCCGTTCCTTTAGGCTCTGAATTTCATCTCTGCACCTCATGGCCTTCTCCAGTTTCATTCTCCTTTCTTCCTTTTATGTATTGATCTGCAGGATGCTCACTCTTTATGGTGACTGGTGTTGATTCCCACCTACTCCTCTTTCTTTGTAGGTCTTGTAGTTAGTTTTGTTTTAGTTTGGTTAATCATATACTTATTTTAGTTTGCTACTGAGCTGCTTCATGATTTAACCTTTTTGTGCATCTGTCCTGTTCCCCCATGACTTCTGCTTCATGCATGCTGACCTTTCCTCTGTGTATCACCTCTCCACCTCCTAGCATCCCTCCTCTTCTGTGGTGTCATGGTGACCGTGACGGTCACATTTGCGTGACACTCTATAACTTTGAAATTTCTCTTGCCTTTTCATCATCACAACTGAAATAAAAGATCGTTTTTATTCCTTCACTTCTGGGGAAAATGGAAGACGGCCAAATGTGCCATCCCAGGATTAGTCAATAATATGTTGACAACTGGGGAATACGTTCTGAAGGATTCTTAAATACTCTTGGACCTACTGCACAATTCCTCACCTTTCTACCTTGATGTCACTGTTTTCTCATTTCCTGCAGTCCCTGTGAGGACATCCCCTGGCCAGGAAGGAGGAATGTACGCAGAGGACTGATGCAGGCACCAAATTCATCTTTATTTCTTTTTCTCTATAAGTTTTGTACTTGCTACTGTAAGAGATTTTGCAGCCCATGACTGCTGTGCTCAACCTTTACCTTCAGTATTTGACTTTGTTTTTTCCTTTATATCCCACTTCCCAGTTCTTTTAGAATCTTGATCTTAGAGACTGAAAATTATTTTCTTCGTTAGTGGTTGTTTGGTATTTACCTGGATCAAGATGGGCTGTGTATGGTAATTGATGAGACATACATTTTTAATTGATATTTTCCACAATGCATTAACTACCTTTTAAAAATGACACTATCCTGTCGTCTTTGATTTATCTCTAGAATTCTTAATTTTTCATGGAAAATAGTTTTGGGCTCCTGATATTTGTGTTAATGTTACTTCAGAGAACACAATATAAAGTCTGAACTCTGCCTCAGCAGAGTCTTAGGTATTCCCAAGAATTTATAGGCAAGTTGAGGATACAATTTACTCTTTTTGTTTTTGCAAATGTCCTGGGCTTGGGATGCTCCTGGTTGAACTTCAGCATTGCCTTGGGCATTGGGGATCTTTAACTACTTCCTGCTACAAAGTAAAAGGCTTTGTTTTAAAGAGAATCAGTATCTGAAACTAATGATGTACTATATGTTGGCTAATTGAATTTAAATAAAAAATATAAAAAATAAAAAATAAATAGAATCTGTTATGTTGTAGGGAGAAAGCTAGCTGCTGTTTTGAAAAACAGGTCTAAATGCAGTCTGAGCCCTCACCCCACTAGAATCACTTGGGGAATTTTTAAAAAATGCCTGGTCTACACCAGGATTCTTATTTTATTGGTATGTGCAAGGTCCCGCATTCAGGGCTCCCCAGATGACTCCAAGGTGCACCTGGAGTTGACAGTTACTGGTCTGAAGCAAAGCACAACACATGTCCCAATCAGGAATGAAAAAGGCAAAACCCAAGGTATAAAGGTACCTGTATTCAGTAGCCTTGATGTGACTGTCATGTTGAATTTCCCATGTCCCCAGACTTTCTTGCTTTTGTTCTATTAGATTTGATCGTTAGTGTTGATAAATTGTTTTTACAGTCCATCCATTAATGCCTTTCTTGTCTATTACCCAATCTTGTCTTGCCCTTCTTGGCATCGGTGACTACCTATTGCCCTGCAGTTGTCCACATGGTCATATCCTGAATGGGATGATAAAAACAGAGGTGTCGTGACTTTGAAATTCTAAGTGAAACTTCGTTTTTTCTGGACCTGGCATGCCATTTGTGAATCTCCGTGATGTTAGAATAATTTTACTGTTAAATGATTTATTTCCTCTGGTTGGGTATGCATCCTGTGGGGAAGTGTTTATTTTATTAATAGCTAATGAAACAAGACTAGCATCCTTCACTTGCAAGAATTGTTTCTATTAAAATGTATTTGTCCAGAGTGGCTTCTAGTAGCAGTGAGGATTTGTGGCAGGTGATGGTTTCATAGAGCCCTCCTGCCCTCTCACCTGTGCCCTGGCCTTTGCCTGAGGTCATTCTTTAGAAGTTGTGGGGAGAAGCAAACCTGGAATCATGGCCAAAGTCTTTCGAGTATAGAGGTATAAATATGGGCATTTCTTCATTACTCTAAATCTATCACAGTTTCAAAACTGCTTGTCTGCATACAAAAGCACTTGCATCCTCAAAGTAATTCTGAGAACCAGGCAGAAAAATGAATGAGAAAAATATTTTTAGGCTTTTCTGTCATTCTATCTACTCAATAGTAAGTCAAGATTTAGAAATTAATAGTACATTTTTATTTGGGGAACATTGATGCTTTGGAGTATCATCATTTATAATAATTTGTGTTACTTGTATGATCATAGTTTGAGTTCTACCATAGGCATTTGCATGGTTTCATGGGTGTATCCCATGACCTTACACTTCCTTTATAGATGAGTTTGAGGTGCAGGATTGCTCAAGGTCACAAAGGTAAATGGCATAACTGGGAATAGTACATTTGTATTTCCTTTACTTAACTATTCCTTGATTCCACTATCCTATAACATCTTTCTGTATTCCAATTCTGGTGAATAGGTAATATGTACTTACCACTCTGTTGGAAGAATTTGGATGTGACTGACATTACATGATTAACAACAAGGAGCCATCATAACCAAAAAAAAAAGTCCATATGTATTACATGTCCATATTGATCTACCTCTACGAAAATGGCCAGCAGTTTGATTGTTTAAAATATAGATTAAATATGATCGCTGTCAGAGCCTTTCACAAAAACATAGCACATATAAATCTGATGACACTAATGAAGAAATGTTTATGATTAACAGATGTGTTCCATCTGCTTACATTTTCCCCGTCTCATCTGTGGGCTACAGGTTATTGTCAACATAGAATTGGTTTTTCTAGAATACAAAACAACAGAGTAAAACACAGTTCACGAGCATGCGTTAGCATAGTAGCAAAGGACTTAAAACACCTTCCAGACAATGTATAGTAGGAAGACTGCATCTACAAAATTGTTTTCTCTTTGTAGTACAAAAGTGATGTGCAATGTTTTTGTTGAGATACTTGCTATTTGCTATCAGAAATACAGTCTATGCATACAGCAGGGTCTGTAACTGTGGGATACACTCAAATGAAATGCATGTGTAAAATCATTCAGGTACCCAAACTATAACAGTATTGCCTGTTATTATCAACTTTCTGATCACTGTGGAGCCTACATTTTGAAAATATCTTAGGATATGTATAGATAAGATACAGAGAAGAGAAAATGGAATTTTAGGTGTCCTTTTCATACTTACATATTATATGCTGATGGGCAATTTCTGAGTTATATATATTTTTACATAGTCCTAAAAATCCCTTAAGCCATGTATGATTATATTAAATTTACTGTTGTTCTTTCTTAAGTATTTTAAATTTTATTTTCCTACATATACTTGTTTCCCCTAGGAATTCACATTTATAATACCTATTTTAACTTTTCAATAAAGATGATCACCAAAGCTAGTATTGATGGTCATAAATCTGAAGATGGCTTGTACACATTGTTTTCTAGGAAACCTTGCACTCTTCCCCTGCATCTGTGTAGTATGGGCATTTTTGTAACTTCTGCTATTTAATTCATTTTTGATCATTGTGGAGGCTCCTCTAAATTCCTTCGTCTTCTTACTCAGTGTCTTAGTTGGTTTGGGCTACTCTAACAAACCACCACAGGGTGGGTGGTTTAAACAGTTTATGTCTCACACTTCTAGAGACTGGCATCCAAGATCAGGGTACCATCATGGTAAAGTTTTTGGTGAGGGCTCTAGCTCCCTGGTTTCTAGACTGTCTTCTTACTGCATTCTCACATGTGGAGAGAGAGCTCTCAGCTAGGCATCCCCTTATAAGGACACCAATTCCATCAAGAGGGATTCAGTCTGATGACCTCATCTAAACCTAATCACCTCCTAAAGGCCCCTCCTCAGTACTATCACACTGGGGATTAGGTTTGATCATATGAATTCGGGAGAGACACAAACATTCGGTCTATAGCATTTCGCTACCATCTCAAACTCAGAAGTGGGTGGGAAATGAAAGTGGTTCAGCCTCCAGGACAAATGGCAGAATCAGGGAGGCAGTTGGAGGTGCCTTTTGAACAGTAGATGAATGGCAGCTTTGCTCAAGCCAGGAATTAGCATGTGCAAGTTGGGTGAATAGT